TTCATACTTCGTTCAGTTTTTGTATTGCGCTGGTTACTGAAGGCTCATTCTACCGGACCTTCGCAGGTTGCATGAATCAAGGTGCCATCCGTGTCAAAGTGACATTATACTACAAAGGAAGTTACCAGACGCTTGGATATCCGAGGTATGTAGATAAAGTGTATCGGGACCTATCACTCATCTGTTAGGCAAAGAAGGAGTGTTATTTTCACGTATGTCCCTTTTCAGCAGCCACATCGTGTACAATGAGTCAAACCCCGTTGTGTCAGACTTTACGGTTGACTCAGAATATGCAGCGTTCCCTTTTTGAGTAATTGTTTTCGTTTTGTATAGAAATCCGGATACCTCGAAAGTCCCTTCAACGTCGACACAACTTCGTGTAGAGTCAAACCCCATTGACACTTTGTTGTGTCGAACGTACGGAATATCTCGAAATATACGCTTTGGTCCGTTCTCGAATGATCATTTTGCGTTTGTGTCGAAGATCGGATACCTCCAACGTCCTTCAACTTCAAAACAGCAGTGTTTATCTGTACTACCAAGACAGGTAATAATTGGAAAAATGTTTACATTTATAGTTATAAATCTAAGGGGTGCAATCTAAGTCCAGGACCGCTTCAGTTATCTTTTTGTTGTTCAGCTGGTAAGGAAAGTGGATTGTTTCCCTTGGTCGTGTCCAGAAGGCATGATCAGCATGGAAATTACGACCAAATTATATATTTGCATCGTCATCTTTTGTCGGGTTGACAAGTTGATAGTAAACGTCAGTGAATTTTACTTATGATGACAGTAACCCAGTTACAACCGTAACGCCTAAATACAACTTTCCATTTTTCTAGTTAAAGGCACTACATCCCGCACCCACACTTCTCTAAAATAAATAATGCGTTTCCATATCAATAATACTAACTATCAGCCCTCAGGGAAGTTACCCGCATCATTTATTTTTAAAAATACGTATTTCGATTACAATGTAAATTTAAAGTTCAGATAGTAATGCAACGTTGCATTCAAATCGACTCTACGCTCCCTCTGTCGGCCGAACATTATTTCAAGCGAACCCATGAAGTTATCCCTTAGGTCTCTATTTTCGAATATCCTACGCAACTTGTGATTGAAACCAGTTCGAAGAAGCAAACACCGACAACACCGCGTGCGACAGGTTCGATGTACAGACAATTCTTGTTCCATACCGCTGGCAAGTGTTCTCTGTTTGAAGTTCAATTATCGTTTCATGCATCGTAAAGAAAATAATTTTTAAATTACGACGTAGGAAGCTAGACGACAGCATATGCCCCAATATATATGTAATATGGGTCAAAATATTGTCGAAAATGTGTGACAATGGACGATTTAACCAAGTCATTATATCCCTTATAAGATAATAGAAAAGACCATTGTGCCAACAGTTGTTATATTATTACTCTAGACGCTTTCATTAACTGTATCCTGCAGAATCATGTGTGGTAAATAGAACACAAGGGACATTCTCATTCAACAGTGCGATTGGACCATCAGAGGTTCTGAATGTATTAATATATACGCTTTATAATGATGGATCAAAGGTTTAGAAACATAAAGATGGTCCTGCACAAGTTTATTCATTTAAAATACAGTACATAACAGTATCAAAGAAGCCATTAATTGCTATTGTTTATATACCTATTATTTTACCATGAAAATAGATAATATAAATCACTAAATGGCGAAGAAACAAAACCAAAGGCTTTGGAGTATATATTAGATCATGCTAAAGGGCATATCAGCAGAAATATGTGCTGTATCATTTTAGAAACAACACAATCTAAAAGATGATAAACAACGTCTTGAAGCGATTTGACAATAACAAGTCAAAGAGATTTGATTTCGCTTCAAATACATCCTCCCAAAATACCATGTTCCATGCGGGTCCCTCTGTATACTCAAGATAATTGTTGGTTCAGACCATCACTGACATATCCTTCCATAAATCCTGGTGGCGCATATTTGCATACATAACAACAAGCGAGGTGCGCTATGACGGCGATCATTTCCTTCTATGCGCGCCATATTGAGAGACAAACTCTCCAGTGGCTCACAAAGGAAGAAGGCGATAAAAGTCAACGTCTTCCGGCTTTTTTCTGACAACGTCAACAATGGTGTCAGCTATTGCACTCGACCTGGAATAGAGTCTCTGTCGTGGATCCGGGCTTACGCAGTTCCCGATTCGTTTCGCTCGGGGCAATGAGTCAATGACAAAGCGTCGAGGGACGCATACGAAACAAAAACATCATATTGGAATTCCCTGCCATCGTACTTCCCTTGGTGCTGGACTCGGTCTGCTCCCTGCTCACATAGTATATGTATCTTAAGCTTCCATCTGTGGCGGTAACCAGTGGGTCAAGCCAATGACTCCAACCACAAATATGAACAACGATAAGGAGGTTACCCAGAAGCAATCCGCACGTTTCCAAAGGTTACACCTTTTGTTGAGAGTTCAGAAATATAACCTCAGGAATTCGTCAGAGAAGTCCACATAGCCCGGAGTTCAAGTTCACAATGCATGTCTTCTAGAGCCATATGGACACGATGCATGTTTTTTACTCAAGCGTTTCAAAAGAGCAACCCACTTGGCATGTGCGCGATATTGGATTGTACCGTAGGTATAACTGTAACTTAAGGTAGCAAGTCGTCAAATTGACGGTAAAAGCAATCTCGAGATAACGTTTCTATTTTTTGTTTCCTGATACAGGACAAGTCTTTTTTTTCAAAGTGAATTGGGTAGGTTGACTTCAAAGCGACTGCAAATAGATTATCCTTTCAGGATGATCACCTCCACGCTCTTCAGTCCTGTGAATGAATATGTGTCTCAGGAGGGATGCAATTCTGTTCAATGAAATGGAATCAATGAGACGGGCTTTGTTTAGAGTTAATGAAACATTATATCCTTTTTTGTGTCTTTAGCTTCAAAAGCTCCCCAAAAGGATGTTGTTTGCAAAGGCTAAGATTGGAAACTGAATTGTTTTTCAGAAAGAGTATTCCTTTCCTATTTCTTCAAAGGATGTTGTTTGATAGAGTCATTGCTGCTCCCAGCTTTTGTTAAAGGCCTACAATAGGCCCGTTCAAGGCAAGTCAAGGAGTTGCCATGGACAATTTATTCGTTTTGATGTTATTCGTCATAAGGCCCCAGGAGTGAATCACCCACCAGTAAAATAACCTCTAGTCGCAATAAGAACTTCTGAGTTAGGAGGAGGAACAGGTATATATATGACGAGGGAGAGGGAATGGGCGTGTACCTGCGCTACTTAAAAGAAATGGCATTGGTGGCATTTGTTAATTCAGAAACAATAAAAGAAACTTCGAAGCCATGAATTACCAAACCATGGAAAATGTAACGTCAAAGCTGAAATTTATTATCCTGGGCTAGATGATAGTATCTCAAGATGTCTCGGCATGATGGTGATGGCTGGCACATTTCAACCCCAATGATTTTAAGAACACGTCAAATGTAGTTCCTTCAGGCGTGTTCGTAAGGTGTTGAATGTGTTTGGTTTCCAAGTGTATGCATGTATTACATCGTATTCAAGATTTATACAGTTAATGCTAAGTTTTTCCAAAGAAGATTTTTGTAATCCGTAGGTGGAGCTGAAATGAAATTTGTGAAGCCAAAGATGTCTGTTGTCGGACATGTCTATGGACTTGATATGCTTCATTGGTTGAAACAGTGAGAAAGGTCTGAGTCATAGATGTTGCAGTTGCAGATCCGGAGGTTTGAACTGTTGGTACATTGGTAAATGTGGAGTTTTACCAACACCGGCGGCAAATGACAGTATCCCCTTTTTTCCCGATAATGTAAGATTGTCAAGATCAACTAATTCGACCAAATCCAGTCCAAAATCAGCCGGAAGTCCATCAAGATGCAGAACTTTCAAGGACATGTCAAGAGTTTCAGACTCTGGATACCTGGATATGCTGGCGAGGACGAGATGCTGTCGTTATCGTTATCTACGATTCTGAACTCTTCTAATTCCATTGAGATCCCTAGAGCATGTTAGGGATGGTAGGTTTTAGAGTCCAGTACCAAATGATTGAACGCTAGGTCTAGCGTCTTCAGCTGAGATATTCCATGAAAGGCATTTTTCATGAATAACAAAGGATCGAATTAATTAGAGAGTCAGGAAGTCGAGAGATGAGGAAAGTGTTGAAACACATGATCTGTCAGGTTCATCAGCGAGCTGTTGCTGAGAATGAGTGTCAGTGGTTATTGACTGGCAAGCTGAACAGGAATGCTCTTCAGGCGTAGTCAATTACAATTGACCATTACCCCTTCGTAACGTATGTCTCTGCCACATCGTGCACGGGGACATACAGCAATGAGGTCTTCATTCCATCAGTGACGGGCATACACCATTGTGTATGTACACGAATGCAATCCTATGCATGCAAAGGAACCCATCTGAAACGAGGTATATTTTGGCAACACAACGCTTGAAATACTAAAAATAAGAGTTTGCGAAGTACTTGGGGCGGAGCAGCTAACGCGCACACGCAAAATGTGGCAAATCTTCAAACATCAAATACCGTTACGTATCGAAGCTGAAGGCCGCGTACGTAAATGCTTCCGAGTTTATAAGGTTCGGCAACCGCAAAATGATGACTAGTTAAGAAAATACTGGGATAGAGCTTTTGCTCTTGAGACAATTCGTAAATTCGATACAACAGTGTTTGACTGTATATGCATTTGACTCCATTATACCCCACATCCTGTTTCCGGGACTTTGGACCTGGTGCTGAAAATTGTCCTTTGGTAGGTAGCATTCGCTGCACCCGATGCCATCTTATCTGTGCCCCTAAACGTTAATCACAGACTTGAGTTCGAGTGGTGTTGAGGTGTGAGTTTTGGTTTTACTCCGCTTTAAGCAATGTACCAGCAATATCACGGCGGGGACATCAGAAATGGAGCTTCACACATTGTACCCATTTGGGGAATCGAACCAGCGGGTCTTCGGCGTGACGAGCGAACGCTTTAACCACTAGGCCACCCCACCACCCATCTGGACTTACAGATGTATGAGCTGAATTTTACCGTTTGCTGTTGCCATGTTTCCCGAATCCAACGTGAGTTGGTTTGACTATTAGAAAAGCTTTGGAGTCCTTGTCAGTTTCATTACATGGCGAGGTGTTCTCATATTGGAAAAAATATTGGGTCAGCGAGATAGTGGGTTAGATGATGGGAGGGAAAGGAAGTGTAGGTGCGGACTAGCCTGCACACTGCGTTATAAATGACTTACAATTGACACGCCTAAAATGAGTCACTGATTCCAAGTTGTAATTTGTTACAATTTGTCAAAACCACCTCTAACATTACAACCTAACTTCCAGCTGAAACCAATGGACCTTAAGCCGATAAGCCACCTGGCACCTAAGCTAAGCCACATCGCTGGGGTTCGTATTACGTTACATCTGCTTCCTGCTTGATATCCCAAAGGGGAGCAAAGTGTTATTAGACATTTTATATAAGCTCTAGTATAAAAATTCCCAAATTTCTGAATATTTCCTATAAATTTAAAAAAATCCCCAAGCACCAAAACAATTCATTACTTTTAATATTTTTATATAAAATTTGCTCCTCTGTTCGAACCTTTCCACACATACACTTTAGTTTTATCAAAAATGATTGAAATGGTTTTAAAAAATCTTGTTATTTCAAAGTATTTAGAGGTTAATTATTAAATTTACATGGGGTTCAATTCCGGGTTCAATTTCCACATGGGTTAAATGTGTAGAAACCCATTTCTGGTGTCCCCGCCGTCTGTACAGGTAGATGACATTACCTTGTGTCGGAGCATGGTATCTAGTCTCGATCATACTCCACACGGAGAACGTTTTAGTATCGTTTCCCTCCACGAAGACCGATGTGACCAATGACGTCTTCACTAAAATTACCCTTCAACCGTTTATTGACCCTCATTCATCTGAAGGTTTGTATGTTTGCTTTCTAACGCCAACCCCTTGCAACATTTTATCTGTATAATGGCGGTATGTATACATTCAAGCCTGGACAAGACCTGTTCAGTGACCACCGTGATGTTGCTGGAATATTGCTAAAAGCGGCGGAAAATCAAACTCACTCTCTACTATCTCTAGATCTTGCGTCAAAGGTGTATTGCATGTACGTCAATCTACGAGAGTAACACTGCCGAAGATGCACTCATCTCTGTTTAAATCGTTAATAATGTACACAGCATGCAAGAGGCTGGGGAGTTCACTAATCATCAACCAACAGCAAGACGAACGTAATGTTAATGAACACTGTACCATGAAAATATACAATACCAACCTTGCAGCTTCAGGACGCAGATTGTAGACAAGCAGGACCAAGTCCTTCACTTTGTGACAACAGCTCTGTTTAAAATCCCAACAGTATTTCCTTGTGATGTCACTTTCCACCCAGTACTATTGTTCTGCTCTTTGTGTCGAAGACCTGTGTTGTAGATTGAATGTGTTTCCTGACTACAAAGCTATGTGAGTCCATTTGTCGTGAATAATGCTCCAAGATGGACCTCATAGTCGCCGTGCAGTAGACTATGAAGATAAAATCAAGAATGGATTTCCCCACAAACCATTGCATGTGGTTAAAGATAACAAAATGGGCGTGGGCTGAGTAGGGAGAGTTGAGGAGGTGTGGTGGGGTTGAACTGCTTGCCTACCGCCATATCAAAAAATGTCTTTATCGAGGTTCATGTCAATCAATTATATGGTGACTGCTGTTGTGCTTCTGTAATATTAATAGTGTGGCGAGGGGCGGTCAGGTAGCCTAGTGGTAAAGAGCGTTTACTCGTCACACGGGTTCGATTCCCCTACTTGGGGTACAATGTGTGAAGCCCATTCCCCGCCGTAATATTGCTGGAATATTGCTAAAATCGGTGCAAAACTAAACCCACTCACTAATGTGGCGAAGTGATCTGATCGCCTATAGGAAATGGTTTTAAGCCATTTTTTCCAATACTCAAGCAACTTTTACGTCGGGGAACGCCAGAGTCGTTCTTCACAGCCTTGTTCCAGGTTGGAGAATGGTATCAATTAGCATTTTCAGGGGCAGTGGGGTAGACTAGTGGTGAAAGCGTTCGCTCGTCAGACCAAAGACCCGACACACTTGTGACTAGCCTAGTTGAAGGCAAAGCAAAGCAATGCAGCATACATGAAACATGAAACTATTATGACGTCATCTACGTGCGATGAAAATCAATCAGTCATCACAATATATCGCAGTTATCGCAAAGTTTATCACATCGGTTGATTGTATCTGTGCTACATGATCCGGCGATAACCCTTCTGAGGATTTACTGGCACGAAGGCAGATCAGTCGTCTAAGCAATTCGAATCCTCCTACAGGGTAAAGGGGAGATAACTGGATATAAAAGTCCAGTTTCAACCCTTGCCAAACTAGGCTAGAATTATGGCATCCTCTTTTGGCTGGTGTATGAGACTCTATGAATAGCGGATATATTTTATGTTGGTTATGTGTGTTTGTTGTGGAGGCAATGGGTTGTTTACTTTACAGATATAGAAAAATGTCATTTCTAAAGTTAATTACCATGGTTTCTGCATTATTCCATTTTGATATTTCCGTTTCGCATGTACAGGGAATGTGGTTTTGTATACACGGCTGTGACACACCCAGCTCACTATAGTAAGAATCTACTCAAAGTAACATTCATATTGTTTCAATCTGGATATGGACCAGATTATGAGCTTGAGGTGTCGGTATCAAGCCCACCTGTGACCGGGCGTAAAAACCTTGGAGTCAACTTTGTGTGCAGACTGTTTCAGTGTTGTCAGAACCCCTAGTGTACAGTACACAACCCTGTGCACTTAAAAGAACCCACGAATCCCTTGGTAAATGAACAGATGGTGGCCACATGAATGCGTGCAAACACCTAGTTGCGGGTACATCAACGTGCAGTAAACTTGGACAAAGTACTGTGACTGTGTGTCCCAGTCCACCCAGCTGTGAATGGGTTCCTCAGAAGGATGGGAAAGTCACATAAAGTTGGTGCGCCTAGTGACTGCACGAATTGTATGGTCCCCAGGAGTTTGAGATTGAAAATACGATGTGCCGTTGAGATTGACATCCAATGATCGAGGAAAACAAAACACCTGTGATCAGCCAATCAGGAACTCGGCGCTATATATATACATTATAAAATAAATTATATACATATAGAAAGTATGTAAATGTATTGATAATGTGGAGCCGCAGTTGCTCGCATTTCTGCCCTCCGCTGCAACTTCTGAGGTGAATCTAAGAAGCGTCTCCTATATCTAACTTAATAAGGATCTGCCCTCACAATCTCCCTCCTAAAATTGAAAAACAATAGCCACTAGATTCACTGTAAAACTCAGGGTACCTTGTATCCGTTACCCAATGGCGAGGTGACATGTGATGTACAATCGGGATCAGTATTAGATAGAGACATGCATACACTTAGCCAGGGTACCTTGTATCCGTTACGTCCTGGCGAGGTACCATGTGGTATACAATCGGGATCAGTATTATGTAGAGACATGCACACACGCAGCCAGGGTACCTTGTATCCGTTACCCCATGGCGAGGTACCATGTGATGTACGATCGGCATCAGTATTATGTAGAGACATGCACACAGGCAGCCAGGGTACCTTGTATCCGTTATCCCATGGCGAGGTGACATGTGATGTAAATCGGCATCAGTATTATGTAGAGACATGCACACCGGCAGCCAGGGTACCTTGTATCCGTTACCCCATGGCGAGGTGACATGTCATGTACAATCGGGATCAGTATTAGATAGAGACATACACAAAGGCAGCCAGGGTACCTTGTATCTGTTACCCCATGGCGAGGTGACATGTGTTGTACAACCGTGATCAGTATTAGATAGAGACATGCACACAGGCAGCCAGGGTACCTTGTATCCGTTACCCCATGGCGAGGTGACATGTCATGTACAATCGGGATCAGTATTAGATAGAGACATACGCACAAAGGCAGCCAGGGTACCTTGTATCTGTTACCCCATGGCGAGGTGACATGTGGTGTACAACCGTGATCAGTATTAGATAGAGACATGCACACAGGCAGCCAGGGTACCTTGTATCCGTTACCCCATGGCGAGGTGACATGTGATGTACAATCGGGATCAGTATTAGATAGAGACATACACAAAGGCAGCCAGGGTACCTTTGTATCCGTTACCCCATGGCGAGGTGACATGTCATGTACAATCGGGATCAGTATTAGATAGAGACATACACAAAGGGCAGCCAGGGTACCTTGTATCCGTTACCCCATGGCGAGGTGACATGTGGTGTACAATCGTGATCAGTATTAGATAGAGACATGCACACGAGGCGGCCAGGGTACCCTGTATCCGTTACCCATGGCGAGGTGACATGTGATGTACAATCGGGATCAGTATTAGATAGAGACATGCACACAAGGCAGCCAGGGTACCTTGTATCCGTTACCCCATGGCGAGGTGACATGTCATGTACAATCGGGATCAGTATTAGATAGAGACATACACAAAGGCAGCCAGGGTACCTTTTGTATCCGTTACCCCATGGCGAGGTGACATGTGGTGTACAACCGTGATCAGTATTAGATAGAGACATGCACACACACAGCCAGGGTACCTTGTATCCGTTACCCCATGGCGACAATAATGGAGGTGAGGTGAGGTGAAATTGGGTTTAACGTCGTGCTTGAGAATATTTCGCTCATATGACGACGTGCATGCGTGTGTATGTGTATGTGCGGCTGCTTGTACTAGCCCAGACTTAAGCTGGTTTTATAGTGCTAGCTCACTGAGATATCATGCCGCAGTGAAGCATGAATACCCCACTCAGACACAGTATACTGACTCCGAGCCGACCAGTCCTTGTTGTACCCATTAATGCCGAGCGCCAGACAGGAAACAATAATGGAGGTGAGGTGAAATAGGGTTTAACGTAGTGCCACTTAAGTATATTTCGCTCATATGACGACGTGCATGCGTGTGTATGTGTGACTGCTTGTACTAGCCCAGACTTAAGCTGGGTTTATAATGCTTGTTTACTGAGATACCATGCTGCAATAAAGCATGAATACCCCACTCAGACACATTATACTGACTCCGAGCCGACCAGTCCTTGTTCTACCCATTAATGCCGAGCGCCAGGCAGGGAACAACAAGTACCATATTTTTAACAATAATAGAATGTGGACCATGTCAGTGAATGAAAGCATGTACAATGATCCACGCCAGACGGGTACTGCGACAGTACAGGTCCAGACAAACCGATTCTCACTGCACTCCGGTTCCACATCGCAAATGCTGATTACACAGACCAGGCTGTTTACAAACAGTTTCCATATTGCTTCAGCATATCATTCAAAGATATAATATCTGTTTACACAAGGTAAAACGCTTACCTCAACATACTGCTGTCCAACCAACGTGCATTGTGCTAACATAATTATATTGTACAACCACATCATTCAATTCTTATGAAGAATAGCCATCATGTGTGTTACACATATACCCTCGCGTCATGGGTTTCCGTGGTATTAAGAAATTTACGACTATGAATATGATCGCTCATATTGCCAAGTCATATGAACATAATATAGAGTTAGACGACATACCTTTGTATCATTTAATGTCAATAAAACACTTTTGTCATTCTGAAGTTCATTGTTGTCCGTATCGGACGACAGGTGGCCATTGTGCACAAACTCTGGTGACGTCATATGTTTCCGTGGTATTTCCTTCAGATCAAATTATGGGCGCACAGCACATGTCACAATCTCACACGTTGTCAACAGCCAATCCGGGAGTGTCAATGTAGGTTTACAGTAATATCGAAGTTGATAAATTGTAATACAGTAAACGATTTTGTAGAAATTACACAACAGTCACATTTCTTCAGCATACATTTCCAGTTCATAAAATATGTAGAGTTGATACGGGATACGTGAAATGAAAGTGAAAAAACAACTAAAGAGATGACCCTATCGGGCTTCTATAGTTAGGTCACGTGATTATTTTTATTGATGACATCAGCTAGCAGACGAGCGATGTTTGGAAAACTTTGAAGCTGAGTAAGTTTATAGAAAATGTTTGCAAAGATCGCGCAAAAAATGCATTACGTGCTAGATATAAAATTGCATTAGTTCTTTTAATAGTAGATGACTGTATGTAGGCAAATCGATGAAAATCTGAAATTTTTATTCAGACCTGTGCCTATCAACTGATGAACGTAAACAATCGATAAGTAGCGCGATTTGGCTAGTGGCTCGTGAGAAATTATGTCATTAGAAAATACCACGGAAATGTAAGTACCACGGAATCATAATGTCCACAACCGTCGTGCATTGTGTTTATAGTATAATATATCCAACTGATGTTCCAACAGAAAACCATTTTTATAACGAATACGGTTATGACGAACTGATAGATATAACGTACTTTTGTTATTTTTTCAAGCCACTTGCAGAATATCACATTGAAAATTAATATAACGAACAAAAATTAGTGGTCCCTTTATTTGAGTTCGTTATAGACTCGTAAGTCGTGTACTCTGTTCCTCCTATAACACTCGGTCCTCGGTACCCGTATCCAAGCCAGTCAACACCACGGGGTTGTCAGCTGCAAACTGGGAGGGATTCCGTTTCCTCCTCTGACATTGTCTACACGAGATGTCAGGGTCATATGCGGGCGATATCGGGAGGAAAACACAACAGCGGACTCTGCTGAGGAGCGATGAAATGTATGGCAGCTTGTAGGGGTCATCTGTACATACATCTTGACTTGATGACTTGTCTTGCTTTCTTGAGAGGCCTCGTTCTTCTGGTGTACCTGAAATACAATAAGGTAGAGTAATTATTCCAGCTTTATCCAGCGATTGATCTTATGAGCAAGAACCCACGCCGTCAGGTTACGATGACACAAGCTACCGAGCCTGCAAGTTTCCTTTCAAAATAAAATAGAAACAACCGCAAGATAGCAAAACAGGGTCTTACCTGGAGCTAGATTATCAAGGGCGCAGCCAACAAAACTGGACACAAACATAGGGGTGGACAGCAGAATGACGATGACTTGGTCAAATTCCTTACTTCCTGGAGCGGAAAGTGTAGACTTTCATCATAGTGACAAATGTGTGGATGAGTGAGTCAGGTTTTCCGCTTTGAACAAGTTTTCGTACTACGAGAGTGTGTCATTTGCAGCTGGATAGAAGACCAACGTGATGTGAGTATTTGACCTTTACAACTTTAGTGAAACAAACCAGTATAGAACGTATTTTTATGTGTTTCTAATCTCCTTAACCTCGGCCAGCAAGAGAGCAGGATGGCGAATTTATTTCCGAAAAATATAAATAAAAGTGACTTAAGATCACTTGGTAATGTTCTTTAAATCCATTTATCATGTAGATCGAGTCGCTTTGCTTCGATACCCGTAAAGGTCCGGGTTAGAATATTGATCTCCAGTAACCCATGCTTGTCGTAAGAGGCGACTAACGGGATCGGGTGGTCAGGCTCGCTGGCTTGGTTGACACATGTCATCGGTTCCCAATTGCGCAGATCGATGCTCATGTTGTTGATCACTGGATTGTCTGGTCCAGACTCTATTATTTACAGACCGCCACAATATAGCTAGAATATTGCGGAGTGCGGAGTAAAACTAAACTCACTCACTCAACTGGAAGTTTTCTGGCGTGTACCTGTATTGATGGAGTTGTCGTTCTTGGCCACCCAGTCCGGCAGCAGCAGGCCCAGAGCCAAGGAGAAGCCTATGATCATCAGATTCCGGGAGGATGAGAGATTCACCAATCGGAACATGGACACGCCCACAGCAATTACCATGCTCATTGTCACCAAACCAAATCCACCAATCACAGGGTCGGGAATAAGAGAAAAGACCGCTCCGAACTTGCCAATAACGCCCATCAGGATGGCGAGGAAGGCAGCCGTCACGAACACAGCTCGGCTGGCCACCTACAAGAGATATACTATACTGTAAGGACTAACCACTCAACAAAAGCCCAATGTGCAGCATCAATTTAAAATCAATTTCTCGGTGTAATAATAATAATTTATAAAGAAACTTTAAATGTCGGGAAAACATTTCGATGCAAGTGTTTGAAGAAACGTATTATAATAAAACGTATGTTGAAGTTTAAACTTTAACGACGGCTACGTTTGTTTCAAAAACATCTCCTCAGAACTGGTTTTGGAATGGTCACTTCTTGTCATGGACCTTCTCCAATATTCCGTAAGGGTAAATACATATTTATCTTTTATACAAAACCCCAAGTAAAATGAGAATATTCATGTTTCAGTTAGACTGGGAGATATTATTGTTGTTGAAACCTTTCACCCACATGTTTAATTTTTGGCGTGAACGTTCATTGCCCTACTCTCGAGTTTATGACAGAACAGATGATTATGAATATCAATATTTGTGACGGGTCAACCATTATGAAGATCGCGCCTTGCAGCGACTCTCTGACCACGAAGACCTGTGCCTGTTTTAGCTTCTGCATTATGAATGTCTACCCTTGGTGTTGACTTCAGATTTGCCCTTTTCACTACGTTCATGTACGTTTTGTACTTTCTAATGTAAACCCGATTGTCATCATTTATTCTTGTGATGGCTTACATACACTTAATACCCAACCTTCTGACTGATGACAGATCCAAGGCTTCCAGATTGCGAATACTCAACCTCATTATTGACCACAATTCCGGGAGTTTTATCTTTTTGACGAAATATAAACCACGAATACCTAGCCCTGGCTTTTGACACAGTTTTACCTTTGAGTCGTCTTCGAGATTGTGAAGACCAAACCTCGCTACCTTAGAGGAGTTTTGTCTTTGTGGCGAATCCGGAATCTCGAATACCGAACCCTTGACCACAGACCCATGAGTTTTACTTTTTAGGGGGGATTCGAGATTGTAAATACACAGTCTTGTGACTGACCACAGTTTTCACAGAGTCTTGCCTTTGTGGCGGATCTGATATCATGTTTATTCATCCTTGTCACTGATCACTGCTACCTGTCTCTTACCTTTGTGACGGCGATAACTCCAAGGCTTTGGACGTACACAACACTAGCACACACTCCCCCTAGCATACCGCCCACAGCACCAGACAACCCGTCCACTGCCAAACCTCTGTTGATGGCGTGAGAGGGTGGGGAAGGAACTTCTGTTCCAAGAGCAACTGCTTGATAGACGCCAGGAAGTTGAATCACAACTGTCATGGTGATAGTTAGCATGGACACATAACCCGATCCACTGATAGTTGGTGGTCCATATTTAACTGCAAATGCAACACACATCATACAAATGATCCATATTTTAGCAAACTCTTAAAGCTATGAATGCACAATGTCATTTAGAAAGTGGTCAAATGAAACATATGTTATATTTGGGATTACCCTTTCTTAGTGGTGGCTGTGCGGGTTGGGCGTCTGACTTTGTGTGCTGGCGATTAGGTGCCTGACTCCGAGGGTGTTGGTTCAAATCCCGGATGGGACTCAACCCAGCAAAAATACTAGAATCTGTACTTTACTGAGAAAGTGTAATCCCAAATATTATATATAAAATATGTTAAACTCTTAAAGCCAAAAGTAATTATTCCTTAGATGATATTCTCAAGTACCCGTGTAGGAATCACTTTGATACAACTTTCGAATTTTTAAACTGAACAAATAATCATAATTTTGTTCTTAGTTTTCAAGGTACAGGTGTACAAAGCGAGCTTTGCTCTAAGGTGATCGTAACCCCATACATTAAAAGTCACATGCAACCAAAAAACAAACACAATTAAAACACAATTATCACTTATTCATGACATACAATATACATTGCTGATTTTGAAAAAACAAATAAACAAAATTATAAGCGTTCAATCGTAAATCAAAAGTGCAATATTTTGTACTTGGGTTTACTTCCCTCGAAACGAAGCACCCGGGATACCGAACCCAGTCAGAGCGGGTGGGCGTGCACTTAAGTGGAACGAAGACGTTAAGTGTAACGTGTGTGTATAGATATGTTGGGTTTTGTAAACACATGCTCATTTTTTGTGTATAACATTTTGCAATCAACAGACATGTCATATGTACAAGTATCACACCTGCCTGTCTGTGTAATTACATAATGTGACAGACACAGAACTCGGGTGCACGAGCCATAAATCAATGCGTTTTGTTTATGGTGTATAGCCTGATAGGTGTTAAGTTCAAATTGCATGTGGTCAGTGATCGAAGTTGTGTATTGCATATTGTTTTAGCAGACAGGCAGGCAGACACATAGGTATCAATAAAACAGACATTGAGTTTTGTCTGTGACAGAGGCATATCTATATCACAGTTAGAAATTCTGACAATGCTAAATAATGACGTTGATGTTAAGTATCGAACTGAGAAAGTGACTCGGTAAGAAGACCGTATGGTGAAATAGTCAAATGAAATTATATAAACAGTGAAATCGGTAATCTCCTGTCATAACATATGAAAAACACGCGACTGTGAAATATCAACAAAACATTAGAAAAATAGCTCACATCAAAGCCTACTCCGAGTACTCACCGCCAGCGAAGGTTTTCCGTCTTGAAATGTCGAACGCCTCACTGGTTGGCACATAGCTGAGTAGATCTAGATCCTTAACAAGGTTCTTTATATAACGAGTACATTATTTACTATTTATTTACTATTAACCAAGATTAGACTACTCCTGCTCACGACCTTATAATCCGGACATCCCGCTTCCAAGCTGCGCGAACCTATTCACTGCGCATGCACCATGAGCGCAGTGCAGCGCAGCGCAGCTGTTGAAACCACGTTTCACCCCAGCCGGGGTGAATTTAGTGAATCGTTTGAACTCCGATTTCGCGGGGTTTTTTTCATCGCGTTATTTTTTTAACTTGATAAGTTGAATTTGCCTTTTTGATCGTTTGTTACTATAAGGCCATACCGAGAGGTATCAGAATCAGCAAAGTTGTGTTTTACGCTGCATGTGACCTTTAAGTTAAACTTTAGACAACTATAGCGCTAAGGTTGTTTTGTACAACGGCAGTCGATACATTAACTTGTCATAGCAGTTCTACCTACATGGTAAAGGAATGTAAAACCATCCTGCGTCGTGGAGGGCACTCAGTCTGACATCTGTTCTAGCCATGTGGCCATACATGGTGGAGTTGCTAGGTAACGTGTCTGTCACAGTCAGCACGTGACATACGAGGAATGATGCAGCCATTGCTAAAAGCATCTGTTAATGAAATATTTGTAAAGCCTTTTGGAAATATTAAGTCTTTCATTTCCATGACAGTCAATAAATATTACGAGAAAGCAATTCTTCTGTCATTCATTTTGCAAAGGGATATCAATTTCAAGGCGTGGTTTACAGTGATTGTAAGCGTAAGCATACTGTGGGTAAGAACATATTAACTTGAATAATCCTATGCTAAGGTTACAGTGAATCAGAATCAGTTGGGAAGTTATAAGTTCCATATTTGCCTGAACGTAATTGCTGCTACTTATTTGACTGACTGACTGAGTTTGGTTTTACGCCGCTTTTAGCAATATTCCACCAATATCACAGCGGGGGACACCAGAAATGGGCTTCACTCATTGTACCCATGCGGGGATTCGAACCCGGGTCTTCGGCGTGACGAGCCTACCCTTAAACCACTAGACTACCCCACCGCCCAGTTATCTGACGTGAATGAAAGTCACTGATGTTACACTACTAGCAGTAGAGCTGTAGTAATGTAATTAGTGTCTATATACTGTTTGATAAACACTTACGGCATTGAGCTGAAACAAAGGGTACCGAATAACGTGGCACTTCTTCTCTCCATTACACGCTGGAAACGGAAGTTTCACTTTGACGAGAAACAGCGAAAACAGTAGGATGAGAAGTATTGACCTGTTGAAGGATAAAAACACCGTGCAATGATAAAATGCAAACTGATATATGTACATAACACAGTACAGCAATTGTGGATAAGTGATTTGATTTTAGTCGTTTACAATCATCTTGTAGCAGAGTTGTACTTTTGTTGGAAACAAGCCTTTAGGTCTGATTATTGACATCATGGATAGATATAGATGTATCATTTATTAACAAATAAAAGGACACAAACGGTCTAATGGCCTCAAATGATGGGTTTGTGTGAAACACCCAGTTCTAGAATCATTTCCCGTCGTTCAAACAGCGGTACCATCTACATGACCCAACGTCATGTCACACGTAGTATACAGAGCTACCATCAAGCTTGCCTGTAAAATACAATATAGCAAAAAGTCTTACTGGAAGCTCGCTGGTGTTCACACTGTGGGACCGCCTCCGTGGTGTAGTGGTTAGAGCGTCCGCCCAGAGAGCGGAAGGTCGCGGGTTCGATCCCCGACCGTGTCATACCAAGACGTTAAAATATGGTACTTGTTGGTCCCTGCCTGGCGCTCGGCATTAATGGGTACAAGAAGAACTGGTCGGCTCGGAGTCAGTATAATGTGTCTGAGTGGGGTATTCATGCTTCACTGCGGCATGGTATCTCAGTGGGCTAGCACTATAAAACCAGCTTCAGTCTGGGCTAGTACAAGTAGCCGCACATACACAATACACGCATGCACGTGTGAGCGAAATATTCTCAAGCACGACGTTAAACCCAATTTCAGCTCTGCAGCTCACACTGTGGTATGTGTACCGGCTGGGGGGACACCTCCAGCCCTGGCACACTTCTGACAAGCTGGCTGCTCCCCGGAGATGTCCGCACAATGGAACCATGCACCCACAGTGAGACACCACCACACTTTTACAAATTTGATCATGTTGCTCACATACTGGAATCACGTACCCACAGAGGGCTAGCAGCATGAAGTTAGAAAGGGATTGGGGATTCGAATTCGACACTCGGCATTCGGTATTTGAATTCTTATATTTCATCCGCCTTCTAATGTACTAGGTGCTCGTTGTATAGCTGGGTAACTTTAAAACATAAACAACCAAACTACAGTTTTCGATATTTGAACCTCAAATTGAGTGTTTTTTTAAAACATTCGGGTTTCGGGATTTGAATCACGGATCTAAATATTTTTTGCAGATCCGGGATTCGAATACCAGATGTGAAAAACAGATTCGAATTCGAATCCCCAATCCCCAATCCCAATCCGTTTCTAACTTCATGTTACCGAGAGGGCTACCCCTAGTACTGCCTACTAGGTACATGATGGCTTGTGTTATTCACGTTATTCTCACTTCAGAACCATATACATTGTACCAACAAAGGGCCACCCATTGTACACCCTGTACTTACATGCTGGCGATGCCCCAGTGCTGTTCGCACAGTGGTATCATGTACCCACAGAGCGTCATCCCCAAGGTTGTCACACATGGCGCTACTGTCAGCGGCCCGATGAACTTCATTATGAATCCAAGGATTCCCGAGATGCCAAGAAGAAACTGAGTTCCAGATGCCAACATCAGGTTGCCCTGGATCTGAATACGATGATGAGTGATTTATTTTTAATACGCTTCTCTTGTCTCCAGCTGTGCATTTCTCCTTCTTCTTCCTCTCCCAATTCCTGAGGAAACATATTGTGCGGATATGAACATCGATACTTCTTCTCATCTAGACATTGACCATTGTGGTGTTTGATTGTCTTACGAAGCGAAAATACAAGAAGCCAAACTGCCTCTCTTTGTGCCTTTTAGTGTATTGTGGCTGGGGCAGTTTGACGTCCTCCGGTACCTGGTTGTGAGTTGTCGACCATCTTGTTAAGGCATCACAGTGTTCGATGAGGATGAGGGGCGGTGGGTAGCCTAATGGTTAAAGCGTTGGCTCGTCACGCCGAAGACCCGGGTTCGAATCCCCACATGGGCACAATGTGTGAAGCCCATTTCTGGTGTCCCCCGCCGTGATGTTGCTGGAATATTGCTAAAAGCGGCGTAAAACCAAACTCAGTCAGTCAGTCGATGAGGATGAAGCGAAAAAGGGGGAAGTCTAACTCTCTCTTCTTTATACGTTTAGAAGTCGGGATCAAACACGACTCAACCAGTTCATTTTCACGCAGTCGTTCTTGGTTAAAGGAGTTATTCGACCTCAATCCACGCAGCTAGTACAAGGGGTCCCAGGATATTCTTTGGATTCCAGTCTTACCCTATCAAGATCAAGATTATTGTATATAAGGCCCCCGGCCCGTAAACATCTCGAATTCCCTAGATCTACTTTGACCGAGATCCAGCTTTCTCGTGGCTTTTCGCGATAATCTAACCAGACTTAGGTTCTGCACCCCGGATATCCTACCGTTCGATATGAGACGGGATAAATTCTCGAAGGAGATTGCGTGGCTGTGTCAGGCCAGTGAGACGATAGGTCACATGATTCAGGAGATGGCTGACCAGCAAGTACGACATAGGTCTCCATGGCGTTCAAGTGAGGTGGTATATTTAAGCTGGAAACATGTCAGATAATCTTCCCACTCAGAGACAGAGGGAGAAGGAGAGCGTGAGATAAGATACGTATTCATAAATTTGATAATTTATTGTATAATTTACAATATTCAATGGTGCTTGGAAGAGATATGTTGACGTTTCCAGTTCATACACACTAGTCCACCTGTATGAACACACTTCTATTTGTTGGTTGATTGTTTGTTTATATCTGTGTTCTGCGTTTTACTAAAAAGAATTGACATACTCTCGTAAATCGTAGTGAACTTATCTTGTTGCATGTTACAGTATCAAAAACATTTTAAAACCTCTCTCATCCGTATCTTCCAAGGAGATGTCCGTTTCCTTCCACATGTTCCTGCAGTGACTCTGTGGAATAAAACATCTCCATAAGGTTATAGTTACAAAACATCCTAAGATTTCTTTTTTCTGAAGTTTCCTTCAGTTTCTGTCGGAAGAACTAGACACTTTAAGGCAGTTTTTCTAATTTGAAAGAAAATAGGTCATTTGTGTTACACTTTCTGTAAGAAAACCACAATAGACTAATATGAAAACATCAACAAGATAATTTTATGCATAATATCTACCCCCTCATGATTATTAAAATGGTGTTTGTCCCTTGATGCAAGACGATAATACACTGTATGAACGTTTACCATCGGACCATTTCGGATCACTCAGGATGGCGGTGATAGCGATGATGAATGCACTGTTGGATCCCTGGACGAGTGGGAGTCTGAAGCAGCGAGAACACCAACATGAACATTATCAAAGGATAGCGGCGATACATTCTGGATACAAAACATCCTCAAATAATGAAAGAGAAGTTTATTTCTAAACTTATGTTCAGTCTAAGGAATAGAGCACTTCCCATGGAATTGGGGTAACTCATCTTAAGAGGCGTGCTAGAAATGTATGATCATGGATTCTGACCCCACATCAGCACTAAACATACTAAACTTCATCGTTTGCTGTGTTTTACATGAAGCTGGCGAGTCGGGATAGGTCTGTAATGCTGTTCATAGCAACATCCACCAAAGTGCACATTTCTTCTTTGAAGGGCATGACGTTTTCTTCCCACGATTTAAGCATGTTTAATGTAGGGTAGATGCGTCCTCGAGACACTGGGCACGACTGTACCTGTTGTATTAGCAGTTAATACTATATACGCAAGAATAGATAGTCCAAATCTTTACATAGAGGATGGTGTGCTTGATATCGAGAATACACCAAGGAAAGTGTATAAGGACGACCTTCAGTGGTAAAAATGAATTGTTCCATAGCGCAATTTGTTGAACGACTTTCTTGGATATCACTGCTGTGACAAGTGATACCTGTGAGGGCCACAAAAAAGCTATTACTATTATTAACATTTAGTCCCATATTTTACAAAATGAAACAATTTCTAAATTATCTTTTCAACAATAATAAGGGCCAAGGGATTTTTTCATTTTCAGGAACTGAGGGATTCTAGACTCGCATTGGATATATTGGGTATACTTGTTTACAGAATCAAATAGTTTCTGAATTATCTTTTCTACAATAATAAGGGCCGAGTGATTTCTTCATTTTCAGGAACTGAGGGATTCTAGACTTGCATTTGTTTGCATTTGGGTATATTTGTTTCAAGGTTTGAATGACAGACTAGCCGCTTCGTAGTATAATTATCTGTCTACACGTCAAATGCAAAGTGTTTGAAATTAGTTAAATAGATTGGTCTGTGAGATATTATTTTGCAGCAAATTGGTCAACACATCAAACTGTATCTGTATAGTTTTGATACAAAGCGTGGTGTAGTGGTTAGAGCGTCCGCCCGGTGAGCGGAAGGTCGTGGGTTCGATCCCCGACTGCGTCATACCAAAAGACGTTAAAATATGGTACTTGTTGGTCCCTGCCTGGCGCTCGGCATTAATGGGTACAACAAGGACTGGTCGGCTCGGAGTCAGTATAATGTATCTGAGTGGGGTATTCATGCTTCACTGCGGCATGGTATCTCAGTGAGCTAGCACTATAAAACCAGCTTCAGTCTGGGCTAGTACAAGCAGTCGCACATACACATACACACGCATGCACGTCGTCATATGAGCGAAATATTCTCAAGCACGACGTTAAACCCAATTTCACCTCACCTCACAAAGCATATCACGTTCGTGTATGTGTTGCGTTCGTTATATAGTCTGAACCGGATCGTTCAAGGTGTGGGATGGCTCGTTCATCTCACATTCGTCATTCTGAGTATATAAACTGTGTGCTAATCGTAGTGCGTCGCGCCATGCAAAACAATGGAGGGTTAACTGGTTCATTCAATTTCAGCTACCCTGGTGTTTCATAGACTCTCCTACCTGGGATAATCTTTGCCAGAGATAAAATAGGCGTACACTCGAAGCATATTTTGAAGTGTATACATATCAATTGAGTTTGTGGTTGTAAAAATCCCGGTCACTTGGAACAGTTAATGAGGCCTTGCCAAACGTGAAATGTAGTTCACCAGTCCATTGTATGACCCAGTTTTACCAGATATTATTCAGGCTGTATTTAGTAATCTGACTTAAACATAGATTGGTGTTGAATTAAATAAGATTCTCATTTTGCTTAAAGTGAGTGAGTGAGTGAGTAGCAATATTCCATCAGTACCAAGGGACACCAAAAATAGGTTTCGGACATGGCACCTTTGTCGAGATTCGAAGTGTGACGAGCGAAAGCTTTAAACACTAGGCTAGCCCACCACGCCTTCTTTACTTACTGTCTAGTTAGACCAGATACACCTACCTACATCCAAAACATATCTGCAACAGGCTGGCTAGGCCAGAGGTGAACAAGCATAGACTCAGCATCTCTGACCTCACTTCCGGTAGTTCATCAGCACCAATTCGATTGGTTATCAACACGGCAGCTGATAAAGCTCCTGTTATTCCAAGCAGCGCTTGCTGGGTTGTGAAACAAAGTTCATATGAATAGCAACTACTTTCCAAACAGAACGATTTAAAAAAAAATTCTAAATGTTTCAAGAAATATGCAAATTCAGAAAACGTTGCCCACATTTACAGATATCTTTGTATGTCCTGACTAATCGGAAAGGTTACAGATGCTGTAATGGATATGTGTCATTGGTTTGTCTGTGTGTTGTGTATTAACACGACACTCATCAATATTCGAAGGTTGCAATCGAGTCCGTAAATAATCCAGTGACATCATGAGTGAGTGAGTGAGTTTAGTTTTACGCCGCACTCAGCAATATTCCAGCTATATAGCGGCAGTCTGTAAATAATCGAGTCTGGACCAGACAATCCAGTGATCAACAGCATGAGCATCGATCTGCGGAATTGGGAACCGATGACATGATTGTGTCAACCAAGTCAGCGAGCCTGACCACCCGATCCCGTTTGTCGCCTCTTACGACAAGCATTGTCGCCTTTTTGTGGCAAGCATGTGTTGCGGAAGACCTATTCTACCCCGGATCTTCACGGGTCAGTGACATAATGATCAGCTGGGATACGATGACAAGCCAACCAAGCCAATGAGTCTGAACTTCCGATCCCGATTCTTACAAGCATGGAATGCTGTAGACCAATTCTTACCAATATCTTCACGGGTATATGTCTGCCATTGCTACCATAACGTCATAGGATGTTGATAAATTTGGATTTATTTCATTGAACAGGCTCAAATATGAACAGGCCGCAACAATATAGCCGGAATATTGCACATGCCGAAGTCCAATTCTTACCCATACCTTAACCAATATATGTATGTCATTGATACCACAGCGTCGTAATATACGATAATTCTATAAATCACAATGATTTTGCATTGAACAGGTTCAGATATGTACAGACCGGAATAATATAGCTGGAATATTGCTGAATGCCGCGTAAAACGTTGGTTTCAGATGGACCTGATCACAAGGGGAAGTTTCTTTACCTGAATTCCATAGATGGGCCAGAACAGAGGTGAAGGGGGCTTGTCTACTGTGTAGAGAAGCCTGTTGTGGCTGATATCCATTTCCACAATCTGGTCTTCAGAGACGGGCTGTTGATGGTCCGGACAACCATCCATAATTTGTTCGACATGCACGATCTGGTCCTCAGAGACGGGCTGTTCATGATCCGGAAAACCGTCCATAATTTGTTCCACATGCACTATCTTGTCTTCCGTAAGAGTCTCTAATTCATCCAGACAGTCAGCTCTAGTATTCAATTGTTCTGTATTTCTGATGCAAGGTCAGCTGAACAGACATACATATTCATAAACAAATATGCACACATTAAAACAATATAACGTGTGTCAGTTACGAGGTGACATCCTGAACAAGCGCAGTTGCAATTTGATATTTATCCAAGCCCTGAATCAAGGCAGGCTGTCAAACTTGACCTCTCCTTTCAAAACGTGCAAGAAATTCAGGACAGCTTCAAGCTGCGTTGTCAGCATGTGGATTTAGGTAACTATATCTGGTGTTGGAGTGTCCCAAGAGGGAACTTATAGTAATTCAGCTCAACGACCCCCACTAAATAACAAAATGACAGGTGGGTGGAATCATATAAGTGTCACCTAGGACAAGCCATACGGACTTTAAGCACATGTAGGTTTACTCTTTAAGGTTTCGATAGATGCTACAACTTGTGGGTTAAAACAATACCCTTAAAATAAACCCAGTTACATGTGCTTTACACAAGTTTACCTTTTCTGCAGTGAATCATCGACAGGTAAGTGTTCCATGTGACTGAAGTATCCAGTGTTTCTTTAAATCAGTGACGAATATTAGTCTCCTCAGCCATTGGATAACACAGTTATATGGCCAACACCCGTTTGATAAGAGTGCCACATGGCCAAAACCCATTGGATGCCTGCTGTTTTTATGCAAGCTGAACATGGCCACCGACATGAATATCCATCGGGTCCAAAGCTAAACTAAACCTCTTTTAAAAAGAAACCCAATAGTGTTTCTTCTTCCCCCCTGTACTCATAAGCAAGTATTACAAGTTGGAGATTTCAACAAAACTACACATAAACTATCACTCATTGTGTACTAACGTGGCTGACAGACGGATGATTATCTAAATTATCGGTAGTCGAATAACACTAGTTCGTCACTCTTCACAGTCCTCACGGGTACCCACTGACTGTTGAGTGTGTGATAGGCATTGGCCAATGTCTCATCTAGGAAAACAGGCTCACATCCCTCTTCACGTTTTTACTGGAGATATTGATTTCGGAGACGGACTACTGTATGTCAGATCGTTCACATAACACATCGTCACTTATCTCTTTATACATATATCCAAATGTATGGATAAGTTACAATAGCCTGTATTTCGTAAAAATGCTCGTGTTCAAGGTATTTATTCAAGTTAGTGCCATGAACTTGGGCATTATCCAAATAATTGCTCGTCTAACTTAAATTTTCTGAAACCTAGGGGCGGTGGGGTAGCTCAGTGGTTAAAGCGTTTGATCGTCACACTTTAGACCGGGGTTCGATTCCCCACATGGGAATTACCATTGGATACATTGTGTGAAGCCGATTTCTGGTGTCCCTTTCTGTGATATTGCTGGAATGTTGCTAAAAGCGGCGTAAAACTAAACTTACTCGCTCTGAAAACCTATTTATCACTTAGTGGTTTTGATATGTTCCCCATCTGATTAACCTGATAGAGTCCCGTCGACCGACAATAATTTACACCTACTTACAAGACATACCAAGACCTTTAGAAGCTCGTTTCAAGTATTTATCAATGGTATGAAGTGGTTTTCATCTTTCTGCTCCACATATAAACATATAAAGAAACCATACACCTTAAAAATCAACTGGTTCCCTGATGTTATCGTGGTGTTCCCTACACCGTCCCTGACTGTAAAATATTGAATCAGATTCATTTATTTCGATTTCGGTGTTGTCCCAAATCCAGGACCAAAATCAGTCGGTTCCATTGAAAGATATCATGGATGTCAGGTGTTAGAACCTCTGTTCTAAGTATATGGTGTTGGGGTGGGATGTGTTCCCATCGTTGTCTGTCAAAGGTCTTTCGTGAATCCCAGTAATATCTTTTATTATCCATATGTGTTACAATAAGTGATGACATATATTCGATATGTAGCACACGTGTAATAAACCCTACAGACCATTTCCTTAGCCGGTTGAGACAACCACGAGGCATCGGAATGCTACTTTTTCCATCCATAAATTGTTACCATGGATACAATGTTTATGAGAGAGTGCGTGCGTGAGAGAGAGAGAGAGAGAGAGAGAGAGGATGATGATGATGATTTTTATGCAGGAGCATGTATAATGTGAATACCACCCTAAAATTTACATACATAGTAAGTGACCCCCTTGCATATCATGTACTAAATCAATTCCACCCCACCCCCTTCCCATAATGTTTAAGCATTATTATTTAATATTATTATGTACAACATTGCTGACCCCCACTCCCAGAACAAAATGGGTGACCCCCTCAAAATCATCATCACCTCCCCTAGCCATAAATTATGAACGGTCCCTTACTACACTTTCAGTTACTCTCGTTTCCTCTCTGACACATTTATCACCACAGTGCTATTAGAAAGTGAATTATATGGTAATTAAAATCGATACTGTGTCACGTTTTACATGTATTTGTCAGAATTTGACTGTTTTAAATTGGCGCTAGATGTTTAGTCCTACAACTGTTCCTGTCACTGCGCAGCGACCTTGACCTTGCCGTATTTGTATTCATACGCTTCCAGGCTATATTTAGATCGCCTTCAACATTGTAACTGCCATGTGAAACACTGTTATTGAAATTAAAGCCTTCCGAAGTGTAGGGGATGATAAAGAGATTAACACGTCCCAGAAAAATGACATCATTTTTCAGTCACTCGTGTTGTCAATACAGTAAGTCATCTACGCTCGGGTATCAATCTCTATACATTTTTACGTTAGGTACACTTCGGAAGTGTGCCAAACAGCAGGGACGTGCTGCTTGTCTAATGTTCATGCCAGATGTTAAACACCATGAAGAGGTATTGAGGGAATATTCCGAAGGTCTTTGAAGGATCTTTACTATCAGAGGACGGAAACATTCCTTCGACATACCGCTATGGCATTTGTCTTGAATGAACTTTCATGTGAGAATTTTATGAGGATTGTACACAAAACCCGCAAATCACTAATCGACACCACAAAGGGTCAAGGAACTATACGTCACAGAAAATAAGGTGAGGCCTACAAAATGTCCAAAGTCCAAAGGGGTGCAGGCCTGACCAGAACTAAAAACTTTCTGTTTCGGTCAACTGTCAGAACTCAACAAAATATCTATTCGTGGTCCTGATTCCACCATTCGGGAATCATGAGCATGTGATATTCCAACCAAATAAATGGAAAGGAACGGCAAAATCTTTATTCAAGACGGTTCCTAAAGAGAATGTAGAAAGCGTACTTTACATAAGTTTCAAAGTCAACGAACATATTAAACTGTTGTATTTCATGACATTGTCATAGCTTTCTTTTAACACTGATTTCTTGTTAGGAACTACATCTTAAAACTACGTACATCGCTAACTAGTACTAACACTTCTAACGTAAATTCAAGGTTGAAATTGCCATTACTCAAGTCTATCTGGCCAGGCTGGCGTAAACGGTCACTCTCTCCAGGAAACACTGATGCGTGTGTTAACCTTACATCACAGAGTCGACACACATGGGCAGTCCGACTCTGCGCTAAGGGTCGTTTAGGCAAGATAACAACCTACTTCAACGTAATTCTTAAATAGTGGCACAGCTATCCAGGGTGGCCATCGACAAACCGCTGACACCCTGGAGTGTTGTGGAAGATAACAGGAAATCAAAACTTCGGTTATGTAATTAATGAAGGCTTGAGTTGCACATATAGAGATGGCAACCTCAATCTGTCCCTCCGCCGAATATAAACCACAGCTCAACAGCCTTCTCTGTTCTTAAGGTGACAGCCAGTCTTGGCCCCTCTGCCGCTACTAATTTCCCCCAAATTGAAGCAAACACCCCAAAGACAGATTATATCGCTACGTCAATATGATGTATCCAAAACGTGGCATAAATTCGCATTTGTTAGGTTGCTAAGCACCACAGACTACAAAGAAAGTTCAAGCTAAAACCGCATTATATAAAAAAATGTGCTCTAAAAATGCAAAATATATTTCTGTTGGTTTCATGTGCCATTTTACAAGTAGAAGTATCATTATAAAGGACTGTTCATAATTTGGTTGTGTGTGAGAGAGATTAGAGGTGAGACAGAGAGACAGAGAGACATACAGACAGAGAGACAGACACACACACACACACACACACACACACACACACACAGAGAGAGAGAGAGAGATATATTAAACGTAGTAGGAAAAATGTGGTAGCGGTGTAGGTTACTTGATATGATCGGCTGGCCCCCGCTAATCTGCCAAATGATGCCTAATGGACTCTAGACTAAGGCTTAGTCTCTGAATATTTTGATAGTAACAAACAAGCCCATTTATATTGAAAAGGAGCCCAGGGCGGCCAGATTTTCAGAACCTGAACCTGAAGAAATCTAGACTTGCTTTATTTAGGTCTTTAGCTTGGCAATAGGGAAAATAATGTGGTTCAGGGACTGTGAGACAGACTAAATAGACTCGCCCTCGGGTACGTTTCTGTATTCTGATTTGGCTGGGTCTAAGAAGGTCTATTGAAGTCATTCGTTTATCAGTTGGCACCAATGACACCAATGGTGTGATTTTTGTCTACATAGAACTCTCGGTAAATGTGCAAAATATGAATCGATAAAATGCAAAAACTAAATTAATTCATTGTTATATATGTACTGTTTGAGCTACGAAATACTTGTTTAACACTTTTTATGCTGAAAAAGAGCAAGACAAAAAGTTTCAATTTCGTGAAACCTGTCCTTTCTATACAGCAATCCCGGCTGTAACGTCCTTAACTTCAGCAGGCTTTCTAGTATCCGAAACGGATGAATGTGTTTTCGACCCAGTGCTTGTGGGTAGAACGGCTAAGTTACCATAACGTCTGTTCTCCGGCAAAAGGGTTGACATTTAGGGGATAAACATCATGTGTTGGCCAATATCCGGGTGTTATTGAGTATTTGAAGCACGGGAATTCATTTGAAACCGACGGCAACTCTCGGCTGTTTTACCCTCTGGAAATATGAACAAAGCAACTGCTTTTTAAACAAATGAAATCCTTTTTCATTTTAAAGTGACTTTGATTATTTTGTGTTAATTTTAGGCGTTAAGGACCTATTGTTGCATTCAAGTCTTTTAAAAGACAAAACCGTCTGTATTCAAGGCTTATGCATACTAATTTAATACGATTTAATGCGCTTGCATTCAAATCAAGTAACATTTACATGAGATGCTAGCACCGAAATTGAAGACGTCATTCGCCACAAGGTCGTCATGGAGGGAAAAGTACTCTGTTCTCCGTGTGGAAAATGTTATCCAGACAAGATGCCATGCTCAGACACAAGAACACTTGTCATCTACCAAGACAGACCATGATGAACCCACCACTAGCATGCATAAAGCCACCAATACTACTAATAGTACCACCAATACCAGCCCGCCCCATCCCTTCTTCCGCCACTACCACCACAATATTCCACCATGACCAATGACACCACCGTGACGACAGATGTCGTCCCTACCACGGCTGACATACCTCACCCCCACCCAACCCCATCACAACTGCCAACACCACAAGATGCTACCACAAACATTAGCAATGCCAATACCACCCCAACAACAGATACCCCCATCATTACGACAAGCAATGATATGTCTGCGCCCTGATGCATCCAAAGAATACAAACAGCTGTGGGGTCTGAGGCCGAACGTGTATTTTCATACACGTGAATGTGTGAGACAGCCTGAAACAACATAAGCAAATATAACGGAATCTCATAAATATGTACACATGCTTAGGTTTATTTTCATACACATATATTTGTGAGACAGCCTGAAAGGACATAAGGAAATATAATAGAATCTCATAAATAATATGTACATATGCTGAGGTTTATTTTCATACACACCTCTTTGTGCGACAGCCTGAAAGAGCATACGGAAATATAATAGAATCTCATAAATATATACACATGCTTAGGTTTATTTTCATACACACATATTTGTGAGAGAGTCACGAAGAGCATAAGGAAATATCATAGAATCTCATAAATATGTACACATGCTTAGGTTTATTTTCATACACACATATTTGTGAGACAGCCTGAGAGAACGTAAAGAAATATAATAGAATCTCATAAATCTCATTAATATGTACACATGTTTAAGTTACTCGTTAAGGCTATGAAATACACGTCTCTATATTTCACTGCCGATAATCTTATATCAACACAATCTAATTAAATAATCTGAACTATATCAAGTTATATATATAGCTGTAATATACAGCGCTACAAACTATTAATACATCTTTCAGGGAATGTTATTATAATTTCAGTTGTAGATTGCTTATAATGCATCTGCTATGGAGTTACACGCCAGATTGCACCCGTGAAGATCCGGGTTAGAATTGGTCTTCAGTAACCCATGCTTGTCGTAAGAGGTGAATAACGGGATCTGGTTGTCAGGCTCGCTGACTAGCTTGACACATATCATTGGTTCCCAATTGCGTAGATCGATGCTCATGCTGTTGATCACTGGATTGTCTGGTCCAGACTCGATTATTTACAGACCGCCACCATATAGCTGGAATATTGCTGAGTGCAGCGTAACTCTAAACAGCGTAACACTGGAACATTACTAAAAGCAGTGAAGCCCATTGCTGGTGTCCCCCGCCGTGATTTTCCTGGAACATTACTAAAAGCAGTGTTAAACCACACTCATTAACTCACTCTAAATGCTATAATGGAGCCCTGCAGGATGTGAAGCCCAGTGAGAACTCAACATACTTTGTGTCTGTCCTGGTTAGGTAATCCCACAGGTCTCTTCAGTCTGCGATTCTAACTGCCTTTATTGCTTCCACTACATTTCCCCAGAAGACCACGTTCCCGAATACCTCCTCACTGTATTCTAGATAGGAGTTGTTTCGTAACATCACTACCATGTCCTTCGGCAAGTCCTTCACCTTAACATATTCATACAGAACTATTATCACTATATTCTGTCTTCGGCTCACTCCTTCCATCCTAGCCATATTGTACTCGAACTCGCACCAGTGGCTCTTCAAGAAAGCAGGGGACAAAACAACCAAGGTCTTCCGACTCCTTTGAATGGCGTCAACGATGTTCGTGGCGATTACCTCCCCTGGCAGGAAGTCTCTGTCGTGGATGCACATGCGCAGTTCAGCTTTTGTCTCAAGCTCGGGCATCATCGTGTCAATGACGAACCTTCTATCCGGCTCTGCATAGGACACGAATACGTCGTACTCAAAAGGATCATTGGATTCATTGTCAACAGCGAGTTTGTTGTGATAGCCCCGCCTCCCTACGTGGTACAGGTACCTGAGCGTCCACCTGTGACGATATCCAATCGCAACAAAAATAACACCAAGAAGTAAGATCAATACAGATAACGACACCGAAACGATCATAATGTTGACACCATCACACCGTTTGTCTAAAATTCCAATAATCTCATCTAAACTGTTGGTGTCAGAGTCAGTTGTATTATCGGACTTCATACAGCAAGACATCCTTTTGATTCCAACTACGCGATGTTTGTTTTTACTCAGCCATCTTAAGAAGTATAATCCCTCACATGTGCAGGATATCGGATTAAATTCTAGATTTAGCACCAACTCAGGTAATTTGTCAAATTCTTTCAGAGCACGAGAAGACAACATTTGTATCTGATTCCCACTAAGGCTTAGATTTGTAATGGATTTACTGAGATAGACGTGAAACGATTTCAAATAATTGTTACTCAGGTTGATCGTTTTGGCATTTGTCAGGCCTCTAAATATTCTGGTAGGTAAAAATGTTATGCGATTTCTTGAAAGGTCGAGATGTTGAATTTCTCCCAATCTGTGAAAGATATTTCCGGTATTGTCCTTTCCCAAAGCTATCCCGAGGTGGTTGTGATGAAGATTAAGCTTTTGCAGTGAATTATCTTTTTCAAAAACGTTTGGTCTCATTCTTTGGAGTCCATTGTAGGAAAGGTCTAAGACTCTTAAATTCCGCAAACCTCTTAGCGGACCTATCAGGGCGCGAAAATAATTATGTTTCAAAATGACTTTTGTGATGTTATTTTCTTGTACATCTATATTTGGTATTATGCCTTTCAGAGAACAGTAGGATGCTATGATAGTTGTAAGATTTGGTGGAAATGGACGTGGAAGGGAATCGTTCCTTAAACGTCTCTGCAAAAGTGCAAAAGGTTTTTGAACTAAGTTTATTCCTGTAATATCCAGAAACGTGAAAGAGTTGTGAGGGTTCATGAGGACCAAGAACCCTGACTGGAATTTGTTCCAACGAGCTGAAAGTCTTTTGAGACTTTTAGGCAAATAATTCACAACGTTTAACTCTATTCCAATTATGCCATTACGATCTATATGTAACTCTTTCAAGTGGATTTGTTTCAAGTACTTAACATGCGAAACGCGCACGTGAGAACACACGTCATAGAGAGGATAAATACGATTAGCTCGTAGAACTTGTAGTGATGAATGTTGAAGACCATATGTAGCATTGGTGAGATTGTCAAACGAAAGACGTTCATTGTCCGAGATGTCTATCAGGTGAATTTGTTTAAGAGGCTGAAACGTGAGAAGATCGGTCCTTTTCACGTCACAGAAGCTGATATTCAGAAGGTGAACTGTTGGTACATTGGAGAACGTGGTGTTCTGTAACACTGGAAGCTTACAATACTTCCTATAGCCGGATAGAGTCAAATTCCTCAGGTTCCTCATTTGACTGAATCCAGGTCCAAAATCAGCCGGAAGTCCATCAAGATGTAGAACCTTCAAGGATGTCAAGTGTTTCAGAGTCTGGTCTGGGTATGTGGCGTGAGGACGAGATGTGTCGTTATCGTTATCTACGATCCTTAACTCTTCTAATTCCGTGAGATCCCTGAACATGTTAGGGTGGTAGGTTTTTGAGTCCAGCAACAAGTGATTAAACTCTAGGTTTAGCGTCTTTAGTTTGGATATTCCATGAAGGGCATTGTCATGAATAGCAAAGATCGAATTATAAGAAAGGTCAAGAAGTCGAAGATGAGGGAATCGTTGAAACATTTGATCTGTCAGGTTCGTCAGCGAGTTGTTGCTGAGAAGTAATGTAGTGGTATTGATTGGCAACTGAACAGGAACTCTCTTCAGACGTAGTCCATTACAGTTGACCATTATCCCTTCGTAACGCTTGTCTCTGCCACACGTGCATGGGGGGACATGCATCATGAGAGGTCTTCGTTCCATCAGTGAAGAGCAAACTTGCCAAGTGCATGTATATGAATGCAGCTGTGCATGCAAGAACCCATCTGAAACGAGAGCATACATATCATTAAAACTCTAGAAGAGTACGTACTAAAAGATGCAATGGTTAAATGGGCAATTCAATGACCTATCAATTCTGACAATACCACTCATTATCACTGGATAGATATCAATCCATCACACTAGTCTTTTATATAGCGCCTGTCTGAATGTTCCTTAGTTGTCTGGGATTGAATTCCACCGTATGGGACCAGACTTGGAAAAGCTGTCACCATAAGAACTGGTGCATGTTTTTGGAACACACAGGAGATTTTGAGAACCTGAACGTGAATATCGAGATTGAATATGATCCTTAACAAGATCTTATATGTATGTTGGTGCTTGGCCATGTTTTGGATGTGTGTGGTATACTTTGTTCTAATTTTGGTAGTGTTGGCAAAATGACAAAAACTATATTCTAATGTAACACATGGTGGGTATCTGAAATTTGGGTGTCTGAAAATGGGAGGTATATTGATGCAATTGTATTCATTCGAATACATAGGCGGAAGAAATTGCATACTCTCATCTGGACAGGTGAAATATACTATACCAAATTAAAAGCTAGACTCGTTAGATTGAACCTACCCACCCTACCACCCCACCACACCCCACACCCCACACCCCACACCCACACCCACACCCGTATTTTGCTGCTGTATTTCATGTCTTGTGGACTATGACTTAATTTTTACTTACAGAACAAATAAACTTTGTTTTTTGGTACTCTTTTAACTATTACATATGAAAGACTTGTGGTTAGACTTATGCGGAACACCAACTTTATTCTTAAAAAGCTTGTGGTTAATTAATACCGAGTGATTAAAAGTTGCCAAAAAGTCGCCTGCTTCACTCTCGCCCGCCAACGAAACCACAGACAGGTTACTTAACTCTGTCGCCAGAGCACTGCAGTGACGTCATATGAGGAACGATTTTCAGTTAAGTGTATAGAAAGTGTGTAGCACGCTCATCATTTTGATGATTTCTCGACATTAACGACGACATGCCGAATCGTTGCTTTGCCGTCAATTGCTCCTAGGGGTCGGGCGATGGTGTCACCATGCCAGATTTCCACAGGACCCTGCAGTTTGTGCTAAATGGGTTATGTTTGTGAGTGCGAAGCGACCGTTGTGGAAGCCTGAAACGATATCTTACTTGTGTTAAGGTCGCTTCACGGAAGTAAAAGATTCAAAACTACTTACTAGTTGTAGTAAAATGTGTATATGATTGATGACCATAAAGATTTTCCATGACACAACTTGTAACATAACGATTTCTTCCTCGGAAGCGAGGTTGTGGTCGCAGTAACAATAATATTGTAAGTAGTATTATATTGACACCCACCTCGCTGCCACGAGAGGAATTGTTATGTTATGAGCTATGTCATGCAAAATCCTATTGGCCATCAATCAAATACATATTTTACTACCAGTAGAAAGCAGTTTTGATTTTGTAACTCGGTGAAAACAAACCTAAATAGCATTTATCCTCAGACTGGCGGATGTTCGCGACAGGGCTCCGCCATTTTTGAAAATCGTAAAGTCACGGGCTAAAGTCTGTTAGAATTAATGAGATTATGGTTTGTTTTCATCAAGTTAGAAAATCAAAACTACTTTCTACTCGTAGTTAAATATGTACTGGAATCATAACCAAAAGGATTTTGCATGACACAACTTATAACATAACGATTTTCTTCCACGGAAGCGAGGTGGGGGTCGAAGTCACAATACTGCGCGATAAAGTTACATTCACATGGTTAATGTCCACTCACCAGTATGTAGATACTAGTCAATGTGCGTCTTTATATTTGCTCTTATAATCCTAATTAGTTTATTATCATACTTGTATGCATTTTGAAACTAAATAAAAAGCAGACGATCTGCTGATACTTATAGTGAATTTATAACAGAACTGTAATATCTAGACATTTTATAGTTTGCCAATGTGAATCATAATTCGCACACACACCCTAGTGTATGTTGTCTGTCTCATTACACTTCACGATGAAAACAATGATTCTGTTGAATGCTACGACAAATGAATAAGAACAAAATGCAAATATTAAACTTAAAACAGATAAAATTTATAGGAACAATGTCAGGCTATTACCTTTTTCGAGGAATGTATCCATTAATATCCACAAAAACGAGTGATATGCCATTCATCTGCAGCTGTTCCAAGTAATGTGTCTTTTTTAACAGTCAAGTATACGAAAAAGTGATATATCGTTTCAGGTATGTCACATTGGTGTATAGTCTCATTGGTCACCCAAGATAGCACACCTGGCAACTAATTGCATAATGTCCGCCTTTCTTTAAAAACAGTAATTTAGTTAGCCAATAATAGGCAATCAATCAATGTATTGGCGGTTAATCCTTTGAAAGAAGGACGTTGTTTTTACCCGGACACCAACACGACAGAGTGTATTCAGTACAGATAAGTAAATCTACATACATAAACACTACCTTTTGACAAATCCGCTGTGTAAGATAAAAGTAATTAATCAATCAGCGTGTTATGGGTTAATCCTTTGATCGATGTTTATAATGTTGAGTATTTACTCCAGACACAAGAAATGCCAAATGGGAACCTTTGTCGGGTAATCTAAGTGTGTTACCACTAATTATGCCTGTTATAAATTCATTAACTGATCATCTAATGAATGATGACAAATAACATGTGTAGGTTTATACCACCTAACACGGGTTACAACAAGGGAGTATTAATTGCTGTATTGCATGTGAAAACTTATGGGCCGACACTGTTTTGAGAATACAAACAGATTTTTACATGACATGATTAAATATCGAGGTAAAAAAAACACAGAAATAGGATCAATTTGGATCTGTCATTATACAAATAGGGCCTAACGACACCGATCGATTTTGACAGAATCGTCTATGAAAACAAGTTGTAACTCGGAAACTAGGTAAAGCGGGAGACAAAATTAAATGACACTAGATTGTGAGAACATATAGCTTTCATTTTCCACAACAGTTGTCACGATTTCAGGTTTATAGAAACCTGTAAACAAGAAATGTAGATGAATTCTGCATCGGCCCTCATATCTATTCCTCATATGACGTCACAGAGACGCCCCGCTCTGATTGGTTGAAATTTCGTTCGCGGGTGAGAATTGAGCACTGTTGTCAAAAAGGTCGATTTAAGTTAATTAAAGACCGAAGTGAGTAGTTTTAATGACGGGGTTTCATTTATAGCGATGCCAGTTATTGATTTATGCATTTGTACAATAAGCCTGGAGATGTCATTGATTCCATTTGTTGTCATATAACACAGATGTTGAAGGTTTGAGTGACTGAGTAAGAGACAGATCGCAAAGGAACCTGTTTGCCTTTGAATATTCAATGCCATTTAGAAGGTGGTCAAAAGTAACATGTTACATTTGGATTACACTTTCTCTGTGAAGTACAGATTCTAGTGAGTGAGTGAGTGAGTTATTATTTAACGTCACATCGGCAATATTTCAGCCATATCGTGACGAGAACACTTGACATTGAAATAGAACATATATAGAGATTAAATAACCTCCCGACAGAGGACAGTAAAGCAACTAGAGTATACAGATTCTAGTACTTTTGTTGGGTTGAGTCCCATCCATGACTCGAACCCACACCCTCGGGCATCTAATCGCCAGCACACAAAGTCAGCCTCCTACCCGGCTCAGCCACCATGGCTCTGCGATTAGGTGCCTGATTCTGAGAGTGTGGGTTCGAGTCCTGAATGGGACTCAACCCAACAAAAGTACTAGAATCTGTACTGAGAAGTATAGGCCGCTGTGGAGGAGAAAACGGTCGAGACAGTAGGTCTGGGGCCATGCTTGTGCCACCAGAAACATCATCATGTGATGGTTCCTGATCTGGACTTGGACTTATTACTCATTCCCTCCCAAATGTCGATGTGGCCTCCACTGCATAAGCTTGAGGATCTGGGATATAAGTCGGCAGCTGGTTATAATGCTTCTGCAAGGCAGCCACCATGGCGTTTCTGAGGCAACTAGAAGTGAGGAATTCCCGAGGATTAAAGCGTAAGATCATTTTCATTTCCAAAATGTTGATACCTACTGATGAATCTCCCAAAGATGAATTGAACTCTCTTATCCCGTCTTGTCTTCTCGATGAGCTTCCTGTGAGTAAAGCATCCATGAAGAGATGATATTCTTGTAATGGTCTCCTGATTGGAGTTCCGTGTATGACGTTGTCAGGGTTCATCCACCATGTGAGGTCCTTGAACACTAGATTAGAATTTTGACAGAGTCAAGCTGTTTCCCTCGATGTTGAATGATCTAATTCTGCATCCATTGCCGTTGAGTGTCTTGGGATTTCTGGAACTTTGATATCCTGTTTGTGATATCCTGATAGCATTCCAATGGCGGTAAACAATACCTTGATGGGTGTTGACTATATCCCTTAGATACTTCTTGGGAAGGAGTTCAGATCTTTTGGATGTACTAGGAACCCAGAATTAAAACAAAATCTCTAAATGAATTGCCACGGAGCCACTAATATTCCAAATGGTTGAACTCTAAACTTCATTTCTGAGAGGATGGATAGATAAGTGTTGATATGAGTCCTGTAGATCTATGGAGATCAAAGAGTCCCCTATGGAAATCGTCAGTCTGAGATTTGGTATGGACTCCATCCAAAACCTGAGTAGTCGTCTCAGGTATTCCTGGTTGAGGATCGTCAGATCCATCATCATTCTGAGTTCTGTTGAATCCTTCTTGGAAACCACAAATGCCTTACAGAAGAATGTTTGACTGGGGTCTGAAGGGTTCACCCCGACAACAGTTTTCATGTTCAATAGCATCTCTACTGCTGTCATCGCAGCTGAAAAGGACCCTGTGAACTTCC